TTTTTTTATTTGAGACAAGTGCTTGGTGGTCTATTCATATGTTTTATAGTTTTCAGGAAAGATGCGCTTTTTGATTTTTATGGTGATGAGTTGCAAGAGGGAACAGGTTTTACCCAAGCACTATTCTCTTGGCTGGTGTCATAGATGATGAAAGCCATTCCTTCATGACATGGAGATGTTTATTAAATAAAGGGGTATTGATGTCACTGTTGCTATGGGTAGTGTTCCTTTGGATAAGAACATGTAACTGTATGTGATCTGCCGTGGTTATTTTTGTCGGTGCTTCTCCTGGTAACTCTTTTTGGCACAATGGTGCTGTGAACTGTATTCAAGAAATAGAACAGATGTAAATGTTAACACATTTCTGGATGGTAAATGCATGATGAAAGAACCTGATGATCAGGTGGTGTTAATGAGCTAAACCAGACTGAGGCTAAGGGCCTGTTCACATGAGATCAGGTCCTGATCAGCAGACGTGGAGCTGCTGATGCATTGCGTTTTTGGCTGCGTTTTGGCCGCGTTCCAGCAAAAAAAACAAAAACGGACGTCGTGTGAACAGGCCCTAATGCTTGTTCAATTATTTGCATAATGCTATGGAAAGCAACAGCACAACTCGCTTGGCAGTAGGGATCTCTAGAAGCACAATGACTAGGACTTCATTTTTGTACCTGAACTACTGAAAATGTTATTGAACTCTAGTTACATAATCGGCTTGCTGGTTGTATTTTTAGACCTTCTCCTTATACTACGTATCTTTTGTACAAGATGCATATGGCTGCAAAATGCAGCAATTATAGAAGACGTGTTTGTCAGAACGAATGAGGCTAAAAAGTAAATGAAGTCAGCACTGCATAATTAAAGGCTGACAGAGTTGCTTGCACAAGGAGCTGACAAGGGACCAGGTGGCTGCCGTTGCCTGACTAATGAAAGCAGTGGTGTGTGCTAATTTGGAAGTTGCTCTCAATCTTGTCAATATGACTCGCTGTCAACGTAACCATCTTAATGGGCCCTCTGGCAATCAAAGATCTCCCGATATCCTCTAATGGGTATACTTGTGGTTGATGCTGTCTGTTAATATTTGAATATGTAGAGATTTCTTTAAATGGTGCACTGAGATTTCTTTGATATCTGGTGGTATTCGTCCTCTTGTGTGTATCATATGTTGAAGCTCCTACGTATTACCCTGCTTTCTATGTAATGGCTGTCCAGCAATAAATGCACATTTTTCAAAAACAAATGGTCCTTTGGCAGTGGAGTGATTGATGCTTTCCCTAGAGACATTACAGCTATGTGTATGTGTACGATGTGATGTAACATATGGTTATAAAAATGATCTGCATCATCTGCAATTTTACTATTGATATTCATTTATAGATTGGAGCTTCAGCGGTCAGCTGACCCAAAAGTGATATTTTAATTACAAATGGAGCCTTTGGGCTGAGCCAGCTCCTGGCTCATGTTTTGGATACTCCCCACTAGAGATCTCCCTGCCATAAATCTGTTCATGATGGCCTCAGCAGATGTCCAGATCCAGGACCTCAAGCTCAGAGGTCTCTCTAAAGGTGCCCATACACCTGCCGATTATCGTACGATAATCGTGGGAAATCCCGCGATCGTACAATAATCGGCAGGTGTGTGGAAGGTGTGCGACTGTTTCTACTGTACGGTCGCACGTCTTTTGGCTTACGGGTATGTTTGTTTGAAAACCAGCCGCAAATCGTATGATTTTCGGCTGGTTTGTGGCATGCTCGTAAGACAAATGCCGCACGGGCTGGTGTGCGCAAGCGCACACTGCCCATTCAGCATCGCTTTAATCGGAAGCGTGCCCCTCAGCGGGGCGGGCTTGTGATTATCGCAAGTACGATCTGCCTGTTCAAGATGGGCAGATCGTACAAGCATTTAATTAGCTTACAACCATCGCAAGACAAGAGTCTTGCGATGGTTGTAAAGTATGGCCAGCTTAACTACCTCCCAACCAGCCGTTGTGTATACACGGCCAGCCGGAAGAGTGGAAAAAAAAAATAGGAAAAAAATGTAAAGTTTCCCCCAACATTTTTTTAAAAGTTACACATAAAAAAGAATTTTTTTTTTTTAAAGCCCCCACCCCTACATACACGCATGTAAACATGCGTCAGGTGCGCATACCTGCGAAAACGACGATTGCACTGCACATGTTGCATGTCGCAGTGAGAGCAATCATTTAAGGGCCATCAATCACTCATAACACTAAACTGATGAGCGGTAAAAGCTTTTAAAGTGTCGCCTATGGCCAATTTTGGGTATGGTAGTTTTCTGCAATTTCGCGGGTGCGCGCAATTTTAAAGCTTGACATGTTTGGTGTCTATTTACCCGACGTGACCCCGACTTTTATATTTTACCAAAAAACTGGTTAATAATAAATGTTTCCTAACATAATGTAAAAAAAACTTTTTTTTTTCAAAATTTTCTGTAATTTTTCCTAATTATAATAAAAAATAAAAACCCCAGTGGTGATTAAATACCACCGAAATAACGCCCTATCTGTCCCCAAAAAATTGTATAAAATTCATTTCAGTACAGCGTTGCATGACGGAATAAACGTCAGTCAAAGTATCGCAGCGCTGAACACTGAAAAATGGCCTGGCCAGGAAGGGGGTCTAAACACCTGGTCTTGAAGTGGTTAATCAGCTGATTGGCTGCCAGCTGTGATCGTACTTCAATGAGCTGCCCAATCTGATCGGGTATTCTGACATGTGTCGGCGGCACCTGTCAGAATACAATGCAGACAGCTGCGATTTTTCGATCGACACGGTGTTTGTGTTGATAGAGAAATTGCGTCAATTTCTTCAGTTCAGCGCGTGGGTTGAACGAAAGAAATTGACATGACTACCTTAATAGTCACTGAGGGCCCATTCACACCATATGTGTTCGGGCAACTTGCCTTATCACGGGATTGCCCACACCATTTTACGAATTGGAATATATTGCAGCTTATCAATATAGAAGCGTGGAACCTCAACCCTCTTCTATTCTCCAATACATTGAGGGGACAACTCTCAGAGGGGGGTTTTCCTCACATTAGAAAGATATCTTCTCACTTTGAGTCTACAGGACAGGAAATGAAGGTAAATCTCCCTAAAGAGAACTAGATGGCAAAAAAAAATTTCATTCTCTATCCAAATTGGGGAAACAAAGTTTTGACTTTTAGATATACATAAATCCTGTTGCTTTATATTAACCAAAAGAAGCATACTAATTAGAATCTCCCCCCATCACTTGTTGCAAGGGATTCTTTTAAATGAGATATTATCCCTCCAATTGTGATTTAAAACATAGTATACATGTGTAATATTGTATTCTTTTTACATTGGTTCTGCTGTGGAGATGAAACTATTTCTTATATGTTGGTGGAAGGATTTATAGTAAACACTGGCAGATAATATTGGTTACCTTGTGTGTTTGCAGTGTGCACAGTATAACATGCTTATGTGCTGTATCAGCTCCATTAGGTGTCCAACAACCATCGCTGCTTGGAGCTTCCCCTACACTCTACAGTCAGCAGTCAGCGATGGCAGCAGCTGGCCTCAGTACCCCTTCAGCAAACTATCAACTCTCTCAGACTGCAGCACTCCAACAACACGCTGCAGCTGCTGCAGCCGCCGCAGCCGCTGCTCTCCATCCGAAAATAAGACCTAGTTTGGTGGCAGCATGTGAGGGGGAATTTAAGGAGCGGGAGAGATGGTATCAGCCTGCAAGGACATACTGTATTAAGGAGATGACAGGGGACTCCCTCCGGCCAGCGCAGTGACAGGGAGCACTCCACCATACTTCACCAACTGCTGTCCCCCTGAAGGCACTGCTTAATGTAATGGTACTGTACTGTAATATGTACCGGTAAATGGTACCCTATTTTACCGCGCTGTCCACTGTCTGATGTCCCCACTCCTGCACAGCTGGTACCACTGTCCCTGATGGCAAAGGAAGCCGACGCTGTAGAAAGCAAGGCTGCGGCGGCGGAGGGAGCAGAGCCGCATTAGCCGATACTTCCTCTATAGCGCCGGTTACTGTGACAGGCAGAGTGATACCAGATGCACTCCGCCTTTGAAACTGAAAGAAAGGGATCAGCATTACCGATACTGACTATTTTGTTGCACATTAAAAAAAAAGACATCCCCTGAAAATAAGACCCTAGTCTGTTTGTTTTTTTTGGGGGGGAGGGTAAAAAATAAAAAGACAGTGTCTTATTTGCAGGAAAACACGGTAGTGGCAACCAAGGGCATTCTGGGTGTTTTCAAATCTTGATTTTTTTTTTTTTAAGCAAATAGACCCTATCTGGTAGACTTTTAGTGAGGTAAAAGGATCAAAAAAAGCGTACTGCTTGTGCAGCACTAAGCAAGAAACAGGCAGCAAGTGTGTGTGTGTGTGTGTGTGTGTGTGTGTGTATGTTGACACACTAAGATTATATCACAAGTAAATCTAAGAAACATAATTTAAAAAAAAATCCGTTTAATAGTTTGGTCTTTTATTACTTTCCCAGTGGTCCTAAGTTCTAACTAAAATCTTGTCTGTTCTAATTAATTGCAGTCAGTGTCTGTTTTGCCATATTGCTCGAGCCTGACAGATTGTAGTGACTGCCAATATCCTGCTCTGTGGGGTTTTCATTCTACATTTGCTTCTTGAATTTGTCACTGCAGCAGATTCCATCTAGTTAATTAGTTTTACCCTTATTTTTTTAGGGCTGGTAATGATTAAAATTTTTGTGTTCGATTAATCGAAATCTTTTTTTTAATCGATTTAATTTCGATTAATTATAAAGCACATACGGATCCAACTACATTGGCCTATACACATACAGCACAGCAATGAAGTAATAAAATGAACTAGGATCACACTAATCCAGCATGTTTTTAATCTCACGTGCCCTACTCAATATGGCCGCCGCTTGAGTGGGGCAACTCAGAATAATAACGTGCTGGATTAGTGCGATCCTAGTTCATTTTATTACTTCATTGCTGTGCTGTATGTGTATAGGCCAATGCCTTGGAGTTTGGTCCACACTCGTGGGCACACTGACCAGCTGGGAAGGTTGTAGAAGAAAGGTTCGATGTCAATTGGCAGGCTGCACAGTGATGTTCCCTTTACATGTAAGTATAACCTATTTAAAAATTGATAGGGCAGAACAAGTTTCTTCGGCAAACTCACCGGCCCAAGTGGCTCCGTCGGCTAACAAAGGGAATGTGGGAGGAGTCCGGTGACGTCACGGACATCGACGTCACCAGACTCCTGCCCCCTTCCCTTCGTTAGCTGATGGAGCCACTTGGGGAAGGGGGGAGGAGTCAGGCGACGTCTGTCCGTGACGTCACCGGATCTCCGACGGGACTCCTGGAAGCCGGCGGAGAGGTGAGTATTTTGATTAGCGATCAAAAGCATTTTAATCGAACAAAAATTTTAACGATTAATCGCGTAATTAAACGTTAATTTCCGCAGCCCTAATTATTACCATTTATCTTTACATTTCAACATGCAGCTAGAATTTCTTAAACTAAAAAACAAATTTCACTTTTTCTTTTCCTCAAAACTGGAGCTTCACTTGACTGAGTGCAGCCCAAAGTACCCTTCATTCCCCACCTACAATATCGACACTTCACATGCAATCAAAATGAACCAGTTTATATCATATTGGAAGTGAATGGCCACAGCAATGTACACTTATAATAACAATAACAGAACATTAAAAGAAAAAACATGTACATTACCCTAAACCATACCTTATAACCCTTATCATAAAGTGCAACAAAAATAAAACTGTATAAAACTCACTGCCATCTAAGTGCCAAACACCACCCTATAAGAGGGGTGTATCATGACTCCATAACAATGTACCAACCACCAGCTGTCCATTAAGAAAACTGAGTGGGTACACCCATAAATTCTCTTCCTGGCTACTGAAGCTATTCAGCCCCAGTAGCTCCACCATCTCCACCTCAATATATTCCGTCCCCTTTCCTTCTCTGAGGATCCAGACCTTGTTTATTGAAGTGATGGCACTGTCGGGGACCCTCCCCTCCGGTATAAGACATCTAGAAGTGGCTCCGTCGGCTAACAAAGGGAAGGTGTGGAGGAGTCCGGTGACGTCGTGGACATCGATGTCACCGGACTCCTCCCCCCTTCCCTTCGTTAGCTGACGGAGCCACTTGGGGAAGGGGGGAGGAGTCCGGTGACGTCGATGTCCGTGACGTCACCGGATCTCCGACGGAACTCCAGGAAGCCGGCGGAGAGGTGAGTACCGATCAAAATAATTTTGATCGATCAAAAAGAATTAACGATTAATCGTTAATTTCCGCAGCCCTAAGTTTTACACATTCAAAATCTTGATTTCTTAGAAGTTTTTTTTCCCCATAGAGAACACGTCTTCCCAGTCTAACTAGGTAAACACAGCATGCACACTGACCATTCTGAATGTTTTAGCAAAATATTTTCCTTTTTTTCCACCTTGTGCTATAAAGCTCCCCATATGCTTAACAATGCTAGACATTTATGTTGGATGCATGGGGTAGTAAATATAAGTAGCTGTGAGTTGGATTTTTTGATGACATTCTGGTGAGACCTTACTTGATGCATCCATTTCTAAACTGGCTGATAATAATTGCCTCATTTATGCCCTTTAAATCAGTAGTTATCCGCTGTGAGATGTTTTTGCCCTGATGTACAAGTATGCATAGCTACCTTTCAAGTGTGCCCTTCTCCAACGCTGTCTGATCGATCTTCGGTCCCCTGCTGCCACTTTTCAGGCTCCCAGGCATCCTATTCGGCCATTGATGATGCTCATGTGCACAGGAGTTACTTCACCAACATCAGGCCCATTTACGGCATCTTAAAAAAAAAAAAAATATGGCTGGGGAGAGGGGAGGGTTTTTTTTTTTACTGCATTTTTGCAGACTTTGCATTATCCCTACCTCCCTAAAAAATCCCTACCTCCCAGCAGTTTTTTATTTTTGTAACTTTACTTCCACTTTATCATTAAGGGCTCATGCACACAAGCGTATTACAATAATCCCATGAACTCTGGATCTTTCTGGAAGAAAAAGCCAATGTGTAAAAAAAAAAAAAAAAA